AAGCAAGAAAGAGAGGAAAAAAGAAAAGAAGACAAAAGACTTTGGGGAAGAGAATCGGGAAAGAGAGAGATGAAACAGGAGAAAGTGGTGCAGTGGTGGCCTCGCCTGGTGGGAAAGCAGTAATGACTAATAATAATAATAATGCTGTGGTGGTTTCCAGGTAATTTCTTATCTTCTATCGTTTGATTGGAACTTTGATTGATTAGGTTTCGTAGAAATATCCTCCCCCCCCCCCATCCCGGGGGGCCCCCCACTATTAATTGAATTATTTGGTCCTGGTCCAATTGAATTGAATGCGATAATGCTTTATTCATTTTTCAGGTTTTCACCTCCTCCAAGTAAAATAAATAAAAAAATAGCACGTACTAGTAGTGGTGGTATTTTTCTTCTTAATTTGTAAATTATCGTCAATTTTTGACTTTTGTGTGGGAGTGGTTAGAAATCAGATTCAGCGATGCTTATCTTGTGCGTGCAGGCTGGCTGTTCTGAGTGGGTGGCGGCAAGTTTTGTTTATTCCATCTGAATTTTTTTTAAAAAAAATTTATTCATCGCGGGGTTAGCGGAAATGTCACGCAAGCTTGATTAAATCCGTGAATCAGATGTTGACACGTGGAATGTGGACTCCTTGCGACGTGCGCCTCTAGCAGGTGCGGAAGGGCCCCACCGGCTGTGTGATCCTTTCTTAAGCCTTTGGGTTTGGGACCTTTGGGCCAAGACGAATGCGTCAATGCTGGACTCTGTGTCTCCTGATTTTTTTTTTATTGGATGCCAAATCCTGTGCGTTTACGGCAGTTTGAATTAGATCAGTCAATGCGCCTTTGCTGTCTCCTTTTTATTATTATTATCATAATTAAAGATGGGGACGGTGGGTTTTCAACAAAAGCGAATGAGTCAAGGGTTAATCGACAGAGACTATTAGAAGTGCACTGATAGCATGTAAACGTTTTGGTTTCAGTAGCAGTTTGGTTTTAGTCGCCAGGTTAGCATGTTGCATCGGGTTGGGCAACTATGTATTGGGCCCTCAAAGTAAATGCATTGCAGTAAAATATATTCATGTCACCAAGATTTGGGCTTAACCCAACCATTGCTGGTGTCAATTTGAATCATGAATAAACATTGGGCCAACCCAGCCATCACTAGCGTAAAATTGAATCATGAGTAAACATCAGCCTAAAGAAGGCCTAGAAATTTAGCCGGTGTGCAAGTTGGGACTGATATAATAATCTAAAGGGTCACTAACTAATAAATTGCAGAGTCCAGACGGAAGGAAATTGTTGGACAGACGCTACTAATCAAGCATTCCTTGGAGTAGAGCAAAATCCCAAGCTCATCCAAATCGCGACTCCGTATTTATATTTCCATTCATATTTAAGGGCAAGAATAGTGATTAATCATCACAGTTGCCTAAACTCCATTCTTGCTTCAAAAATCAATTCTACCCTCCTGTAGTATACTAGTAACGCTAGTACAATTTTCTGTCATTCATTAATTGCATTCCTACCTTCTAACTCCCGCTTCTTACCTCTGGGTCTAGTTTATGAAACGAATCAGTGCAGGCTGCAGTTTTCTTATTAAGATTTAGGATCAAGTGTCCACGTTCACCAAACTCCCTAGACCAATGAATTGTCTTCTACGATTATCGCTATATGCTTAAAAGAGCTCCAGTCAAATGCAGCAAAACTCTCGGATTTAAAACTGTTTAGCTACTGGAAATACTTACTGTTACATATCTCAGCTGCTTTCATCCAGTAAATTCAATCACGTGATAAATGCACGAATAACAGACCAATCGAAGGCCATTGCACAGAATCTCGAACAGACGCGATTTTCGTTTCCAACAGCAAACAACGACGCATCCATTAACCATGGCATAACCGAAAGAGAGAATGTACCAGACCATGACGTATTCCCCGAAAAGAAAATTACTACTACTTGTAATTACAAAGGGCACCAAATCAGAAACCCTAATTACTTCACAGAACTATCCTAACCGCCGAACCCATAGAGAGTACGGCCTTGCCTTTTGAGAGCATACACAACATCCATGGCGGTGACAGTCTTCCGGCGAGCGTGCTCGGTGTAGGTGACGGCATCTCTGATCACGTTCTCCAGGAAGATCTTGAGGACGCCGCGTGTCTCCTCGTAGATCAGGCCGCTAATACGCTTCACGCCTCCTCTGCGAGCCAGACGGCGAATCGCCGGCTTCGTGATTCCCTGAATGTTGTCGCGAAGCACCTTACGATGACGTTTTGCTCCTCCCTTTCCCAAGCCCTTGCCTCCCTTGCCACGTCCCGACATCTTCAACCACAGCTGTTTGTTTCATATCAGCATTACAGCGCATGATTAGAATCCAGTAAAATTTTTAAGATATGAAGAATCACGAAAAATTGCTATGAAATTTCACGCTGGGTACAGAGAAAGAGAGAGAGAGAAACCATCATCAAATCAGATAAAAAAAGGAACGAAAGAGAAAAATATAAAGTACCTGAAAGAGAAAAGCGGCGAACTAGATGAAGATAAATGAAATTGAGACACTGCACTTGAGAGGATGGGGAGGTGTGGCCGGTGGCTGGAGTCATTTATAGCGAGGAACACATTTGGGAATGATCCGCGTCGAGTGTTGAATTTAAGTGATGGAGAACGTTGATTACCAATTGAACGGTGAGGATTGCGAGTTTATAGCTTGAAAGAGGATCGCTGACATGGCAGTATGCGATTCTATTCGCTGGTGCACCCAACCTCTCAGTAGTGTAATTGGATTTTCACTGATTATAGTTTTTGAACTTTGCAGAAATGGACCCTGGATTTGCAATTTATCGCTTTTCTAGCCCTCTATGCTCAAAAAACAATATATTACTAATATATTGTGATTCCTCGCACACTTAAAATAGTCTGATTACTTTCTGACCATAATTTTGTTGGGAAGCCACGTGATTTCAAGGTTTAGCCCATAACTATCCTTGGTTCCAAAAAGATAAAGACATAAATTATTGTCATTTGCAAGTGTTTTTGTAGAACTTGTGTGATTTTTGCAATTCAATCTTTATTTTCAGAAATACTAAAACAATAGAGTAATTATATGCATAATAAGTTTGTTTATGCACTGATCACATTATGGGGCAACTTCAACACCATTGAATTAATTCGTTGAATTAATAGTCACTCTCTCAGATCAACGTTTGTTTCCTCTATTACAAGAATTTATGAATTGTTGAATTTAAGATCGTAATTTAGCCCTAAGAGCATGAACATTCATTCAATAGATGCCACGCATACACTCTCTAACAGACGAATTGAAGATGGGATGATGACTGTGTGAGATTTTACCTTTCAATTAAAAAAAAGGAAAAAAGTTTAGGAGGAGTAAAAGTTATTTATTTTGTAATAAGAAAGGCGTAGAATTTAAGGAATGAGAAAAAGAGAGAAGGATTTGAATTTAAAAAAAAAAAAGGAGTTCTAGCCAAAAAAAAATGATATTTAAATCAAATTGCGGCGAATCTCCTTTTATTTTTGTAAAAATAAAAATAAAAATCATTCTGGCATAAAAATATATGAAATTTAAATCAATTTTTTATGAAATCTTATCGACCATTTGCGACGACTCTTAAAGTGGAATCCAAACTAACACCAGACTCTTAAAGTGGAATCCAAAGCTAACACCAGTTTTGTGATGTTTTCTTGTTTTCACATTATTCTAGAGATTCGGTGATGAATTCTAGCCACTAAATCAAAATGTAGTTAATTTACGTGTGGATAATCTGCTACAACTGTGGGTTTACAATTGTTTACCACATTAGACGATTGACAATATGTATTTCTAAGAAGGGAAAATGTTCGTAACGCCCTCATATTTTGTAAATAATTTTTTTCGTCACCTCACTTTAAAAGTGTAATTTTATATCCCCTTACACAGTTCACATCGGTCAAATTTAGGTCCTAAATAGGTCCGATCATTTTTTGGCCGGAATCCGAATATCACGTACAAGGCACGTGAGTCATTTTTTAAGGGTAAATTTATCAAAAATTAATATTTACATAATCTTAATCTTATAATCCCCGCCATATTTTATAAGACCAGGAGAAATTTTTTCGTCCTCAACATTTTATAAAAGATTTTTTATCCCTCGACATTTAACAAAATGAATTTTCTTGCCCTCATATTTAAAAATATGAAATTTTTTCCACCCCTTACTAATTATGTGTGTAAGGGAAACCCTAAAAAAAATATATGTGTTGAATACAATTTTGATTTAAACACGTGTATATGTCTATTTGATTTTGGCATTAATAAACGAATAGCATAAATATATGTATGTGTCTATTGATTTCACTTAACAATATGAATTAACCAATATATTATACGTGATCATTTTGATTTTTATCTGGTATTAAGCTTAGTAAAAAATCTTACATTTATTGTCAAGTTGCCGAAATAAAGCTATTTGGTCAAGAGATACAATAAGAATCCAATTAAGATTCTATTGGTAAGATATTAGTCATAATATACAAAAAGAGAAGATAACCCAACAAGTTGGCGTCCAATTAATACATGTGTTTATAAGCTATTATTATAAACAAAATCAAAGTAGACATATTAACATGTGTTTAAAAAAATGTATTCTACACCATAATTAGTGAGAAATGAAAAATTCATTTTTGAAATGTGAGGGAATAGAGAAATTCATTTTGTGAAATGTGAGGGATGAAAAAAATATTTTATAAAAGTGAGGGACGAAAAATTTATTTTATAAAATGTGGGAGGACTATAGATCAAATTATGTAAGATATAATTTGACAAATTCACGCCTTAAAAATGTACGTGCATTGACATGAGGATTTCGGCCAAAAAAATGATCGGCAAATCTAGTTTAGGGATTAAATTTGACCGATGTAATATGTAAGAGACATAAAATTATATTTTTAAAAGTGAGGACGAAAAAAATTAGTTTCAAAATGTGAGGGACGTTTTGGCGATTTTCCCTTTCTAGAATTTTTATTGGATTAAACATTACTCGTTGAGTCGTGCCAAGAATTCCACCTCCCCGCCAAAGGCGAAAAGCAAACAAGCTACTGTCCGTTTAATAGACACATCAGACTCGGAGTCGGGGTACAAGAAAGCTTTTTGCGTGGCCGGAAAATGCAGACGCTAGTACTAGTTGGCTCAGCAAATTTCACATATACCTGGTGCCCTCTAGCTCGACGTCATTTCTTCACTCTTTCCGTTCGCCACCGCCCCAAACTCAAATTCTCCACTTCTTCGGATAAGGTTCGCCTCCGATATTCATACTATCTCCGTCTTATTATCTTTTTCTGATTTGATTCGTTTACTCTCTCTCTTTTCTTGCTTGAGCTCCCGTAATACGTACTTAAAAGAAAGTGTTGTCTTAAGCTTCTACATTACTAAAACTACGTAAATGATGTATAAATTTCTGGGCTTGTTGGCTTGCGTAAGAATTATCTTGAATAAGAAGCAATGCAGTAGTATCTGATATTGAGTCCAATGGCTTAGGCATGTAGGAGCTACATTGACGAGGAATGTGATGAGGATTTTTTGCCGTGGTTGGAGCAAAAAGCATGTACAAAAATATCGTCCATGCTTTCCATTGGAAAATCTGCACATGGAAGGTACATTGCAAGTTAGCTTCTGCCCCCAATGCTTGTGAATTCATCCTAGTATATCTATTTTCTGAACAGATCAATTACTTTTTATAACTGTTTCAATTTGCTGCTGTAACTCGTTTCAGACTTGCGTTAACCAACTCACACTAAGAATTTGCCTTTAGTTTTAGTTGTTCCCTTTGGAAAATTATGATCTGATATACATAAATATGCTGCATCTTTGAATGCAGGGCTCTATATGCTTCCAAGCCCATACAAGCTGGGGACTGCATATTGAGAGTTCCTTACAGCGTGGTATTTAGGTCTTCTGAAAAAGATTGAATGGGAAAGCGTTTACTTTCATAGAAAAGTTTTGACTTAAATTTTGAGAGTGCTTAATGCGTTGAGATGTTGAATTCACGTTGAGATGTTGAATTCACGTTGAAAATTGTGAAGTGGACTGACAAACTTCAAAAAATCATAATTTGTTTATTTTATCTGCTAACCACTTTTTTTTTTTTTTAATTTTCCCGAGTGTACACTAAATTGATCTTAATCATTCTGTTCTATGGTGCAACTCAGATACTGAATTTTTTGCTTATTAGTTTTTTCTCCTGGTAAGTTAAGAGTATGACTTTAAGGTGGTTTGTTAAGTTTCTTAACTGATTCTGCAGCAACTAGCACCAGATAATCTTCCTCCGGAAATTTGTTCTTTGTTTGGAGATGAAGTTAGCAGTGTCTCAAAAGTTGCTCTACTCCTGCTGCATGAGCAGAAAATGGGTCAGGTTGTTCAGCAATATTTTGAGTTTTCAATTTTATCAGCAAATCCATTTTTATACTTACCACATGTTGTGCCAGAAAATCTGATTTCTTTTCTACTTCCATCTTCAGAAATCTGAATGGGCTCCATATATCCGTCGGCTTCCTCAACCTTTTGAAATGCATAACACTGTAAATGCTCTTTCTTTTCCTAGATGATGTAGTTTGTTTTTAATGAAACAAATACCGCTAGCAGTTTTAAAATACAGAGAAAATATGATAGCTTCAACCTTCTTGCCTTTCAAATATGTGCTTTGCTTTCTTTCACTGGTCATTGGTGTTTTTGTGGGGCCCACAGCATTTTTAGTCGTAAACTACTTCTTCAATTCTGGATTCTTACCATCAAACACATAGCTAAAGTTTCTCTCATAGAAAGAGTTAAGTTGTACTACTGGTGATTGGTGAATTCTTCTGTTTTAGTGGTAGATCAAATATAATGGCTTCCCTCTTGTTAAGGGCATAGTCGTACTAATTTAGCAAATATAACCTTATAGTACTGGATGGTGTTGTTAAGATCCATATCTCTTGTCGTACTAGTTGTCCTGGAAATTTTTTTACCAAATGTATTTGGTGAATTCAATTCAACAAAATTTTGCCATTATATGACCCAGCGCATTTGACATCTCAAGAACCCAGGTATTTACGAGCATTTAAGATGGCAATGTTGGGGTCTCTCTCTCTCTCTCTCTCATATGCACAGGCAAACTATCTTTCATGTGGTATTAGTGAATATACATGTCTTTCTCTTTTATGTCTTGTAAGTTATCTGCAGTTTTATTCTGATGTTCAAGAGGTATGATGTTTCGGTGACAATTGAAATTGCTGCAGATATTCTGGAGTGATGATGAACTGGAGATGATTAGACAAAGTGTTATATACCAGGAGACCATCAAACAAAGGAATCACATTGAAAAGCAGTTTATGGCAATTAAACCAGTTAATATTTTTGTTGCTATTTGTTGATTGCTTTCCTATTAACAAGCCACTGTGCATCTACTATGGGTTATTTTCTGCCATTGATACCTCTGAAACTTGTCTCCATTAAAGTTTTTGCAGCTCAATGGGCATTCTAATGGTTGTATTTGCTTGAGATGAATGGTTGTGAACCTTTTTTTGGACTATTTTGTGTACTAGTCCCAACATGTCCTGCTGTCAATCATTTTTAGTTAATCCAAGCACCTCTGTATTGATAAGGAGAAAAAGTACCATAGCGTTATATGGATACTTCTCTTTGTTTCTGACATCCTTCTATAACATCCTTTTAATTTTTCAAGTTTCAAAAAGTATGATGAAAGATGATGTTGTCTCATTAGTATGCCTTGATATTTAGATAATTTGACTTTAGCAGTAGTACTTAACCAATTTGTTTTCTTTGTCTCTAATTTCAGGCCACTGATCAATTCCCTCAATGTTTTGAAGATGTCTCTCTGAAGGACTTTGCTTATGCTCATGCTTTAGGTACAATTCTGTTGCTGTTATCAATGTGTCTATGTACTGATTATCGAATTTTACTTTTAGTTATGGAGTTTGTTCCTGTCTCTATGACAGTTCCACTATCCTATAAAGAAAAGCTAACTTCTTCTTTGTTCCAAATACACCTATCCTGTTATAATCACATTTAATTTCTGTTGATTTGGTCACCATTTCTTTAAACTTCTCTGCAAAAGATGTTTCTGGTTTGCTGTTTGATTCTGGTTTCTGACCTTCAAATTTGAATTATATCTAAAGTCATCATCTTCTTGTAAGTCAGGCAGTCTATAACTCATATTTCCTATATATGTTGCTAAGACAAAAGGCTCCAAAAATATTTTTATAAAACAAAGATAGTTTTAGATCTATTCAGTTTAAATTATCACTCTGAATTTTGAGTAAATTTTGACAAATGTAAAACACAAGTGATTTCTGTCGTTCGGTTTTTCTTTTCTGTCTATAAAAGCTAGACATTGGTGAAGTTGTCAATATATCTGGACGTATGAATTAATTTTGTTTTAGAAAAAATATGAACATTTTCTTTCTTGTTTACTGACTAGTCTAGCAGCCATTTTTTCACCAGTTTCATCCATATCATGTTGCTTCCCTCTTTTCCCACAACAGGAAATGCACAGTTGAGACACCATAAGGATTAAAATAACAACATTGTGTAAACCTTGAACTTTGAGTTGGTGATTTTATGTTTCTTCATTTCCTTAAGTTTTATGGACTCGAACATTTGGCGATGACCTCTTTCTTGACATTCCAGTTACATCTCGAGCATGGGAAAGCTCGAGGGGTGTCTCGATGGTATGCTGTCAAAAGATTGTAGTACACTTGTTTACTGTTTCTGTGATGAAAATTGGTTATATGCCAAGTAACAGTGATCAATTGCTTTTATTGTTGTGTTGTTTAGATTCCATTTGCAGATTTTCTAAATCATGATGGTACTTCAGAGGCATGTCTTATGAGTCATGAAGGAAAACAGCTCTCAGAGGTCTCTCTCTCTCTCTGCATTTTGATCATGATTTTTCAAACATTTTTACTGGTAGAACTACCATCTTTTTAACCCATTTGCCAATTGCACAGCATGAAATTCTTGTTACTGACTTAACAGTGTAAACTTAAGGTACTTGTTACAATAAAATCTCATAATTCAAGCTAATTGATATCTTGCTTGACAAGATACCTGTCTTTGAGTCTTTACACAGGTCTATTTGGACATTTGATTCAATTCTGGTGTGTCATTTTAGAACTGTACTATTTATCCTGTTCATTCTTCTTCACTGCAAACCTGATTCTAGGTATTTCTTTTGTGCAAATATTTCATAACTGATTACGTGACTCCAGAAAAGTTCAAAAATGTGATTTAGCTATTTTATGTTAAAGTAGGCTTTTATTTTTGTGCAGGTCATTGCTGAGCGTGATTACAGCCCTGGTGATCAGGTATGGTGATGTATTCATATGTCAACTCATTGAATATGTTTTACCATCTATTTGATTCTGTTATAGGTGCCTGCTGAATCATATTTATCAGCTGGCAACTGCTTTAGTTTCTTAATGTTCAGTTGCTTGGAGGTAATGGTTTCGCATTTCTGACCAGGTGCTAATAAGTTATGGAAAATTTTCCAACAGTAGCCTAGTTTTGGACTTTGGCTTCACAGTTCCTTACAACATTTACGACCAGGTTAGCCTCCTCAAATTTGAGACTCGGATATCTTCCGATATTATCTTGCAAGAAATGAAGCAGAGGCACTTCCAGGCATTATTGTTACGCATTTGTGTGCGATTTTCTCTTAACTTTTGCTGCTTGAAGTGTGCGTTACCAATAGATTACTATGATACTCGAGTTTGTGAATTTTAAACTCTGCCTAGATTTTCCACCTGCTGTCTATGCGACTTCTAGTGTAAAGTAAGTTGCTAACCTTAATACCTAGTATTCAAGAACTAGAGAGAAACAGGGAGGAACAGAGTGAGGGCGAGGGTTGCGGTTGCCTGTCATTTTTCTTGAATATCAACATTTTTGGAGGTTGAATTTGTACTTCTCTCATACACTGGCTTTAATCCATGCATCCACAGGTTGGATGTACCTAAGAAGTGGTAAAAACCATCTTGACAATACAATGAGAAAGGCGTGATATGTCCGCATTTGGTTCTAATGTCATATAGATAATTATATTGTCTGACCATGATAACTTCTATGAAGGTGTAAAACATGTTTACACTGAAACACAAGTTCGGTTTCCATTTAAATTCTACTACTGCTGCCATCTGCAGTCCATTTTTGTCCACTTGACTGCAGGAGCCAGTGCTTTTACAGTAATCCTGTGTTTTGAATTACTAATAGTTAAAGTTTCATCTTGTGACCAACCAAAAGTTAGATCTTGTGAGAGATTTCACTATGTTTGAGGCATTTGATTGGCACAAATAACCCTTTCTAATCACAGACTGCAAAAGGTATACACATCTGTTCTCTCCATCCAGATCAACATGTACTTATTTTTTAATGAGCTAGCAGTCATATGTGGCATATGTCACGAGACCTAGTTGCATGTCATTTATGTTTAATAGTGGTTAAGAATTTGTGAAGTTCTAAGTATGAGAAGCTTTTTCCGTTGTCTTTTTTACCGGTTAACTGCTTTAATGATCTAGTGAGCTGGCTGGCCTGGCTAAGTATGATTGACATTTATTTGTTTTCAGGCTCAAGTTGAGCTCAATATACCTCAGCACTATCATCTTTTTCAGATGAAGTTGGAACTTCTGCAGAGATTCAAGGCACCAGCCATTAAAGATGTCAATGAATTTAGCTCTTCTGAGAAATTATTTACAATCAAGTTGGTATTGATTCACTAACATGCTTTTCAAGAATTGATGCGATTGAGTATTAAATTTAGACATTTAAATTGTGCATCCCTTCCACCAGGCCATGTGTTGGGAGCACTAAAGATATGAACAGAATAAAAGATTAGCACTCTAAAACATAAGTTGTCTAAAAAATATCAAGGAGTTCTTCTCAGACATTTCATCTTCATCAAACTTCAGATTTTCAAACGTATGTGCTTGTTTTTTTTCTAAATATGAGCTCATTGTATCTAAATGTTTGCAACAACAATCTCTTCCTGAGAAGTTTCTCCATTGCCAGCATCAGCACATGACTTTGCTTGATCTCATTTAAGCCTGGTTGTCATGAAGGGAAGTGAAGTTTGCTTCTAAGAAAGGGAGGGGAATTCCACAATCTTTTCGTGCATTTGCTTGTGTACTATGTTCAAATGCTCAAGGTCTTGAATCCGTCTTTTTGCTTTTGCTATCTGGATATTGCAAGATGCTATTTTTCTTAGATCTGACTGATTTGCATCTATTTCTCTTTTCCTTTTTCCATTTGATCTCAGAATTGAGTGATTTGGAGTCAGAAGCTGCACAAAGCCATGGTAGGCTGGCTCGAAGTCCTTTGAAAAACAAAAGCAGGGAGATTGAAGCACATGAGTTGATACACTCAAAAATAACTGAACAAATCAATGAATATGATGCATGTATCAAGGTGATAATAACTTCTGACCCATGAGTTTCCCTTTATGATCCTATCATGATTCTGTTTTAGGATACTTTTTGAAAACTGAAATCGAGGAAAAGGACTTGTACAACATGGCTGGCCAAAAATTCTTAGGTCATTTTTGAGGCATGTACTTCTGTCGTTTCACTTTTGCCTTTTTGGTATGTTCCTACTATTTGATTATTAAATAAACAGGCGACTAGCAGAGAAGAGCTTTTTCTTCAAAGTACTAAACGTTTCAACCTTTAATTTGTGCAGTGTAATCTGTGTGTTGGTTTGGCAAGTTCATGTTATAATTTTTTACTGGTGGCTATGTACAGTCTCTGGGACCATCCACCTCTCAAAACTTGGTTAGAAAACATGCTTTAAGGAGACAAATGGCTCATGATCTTCTTAGTGGTGAGCTTCGTGTTCTGAAGTCTGCTTCTGCA